ATGATCCTACCAACCAAACGAACTGACCAACACTCTCTTAGGAACAACTTTCCTATCACTAGATTATTCCAACTCCAACATATAATGTGCTATGTATGATGTATATTTGATACATCGAGTGAAGGCCTTTCCCCCAAAGAAGTGCCTCATTTGTAATCAACAATAAGCACTAGTAAACAAATAATAATTGTTGCACATGGAGTATTCACAGTGTTAGAGAAATATAAAGTTTAGTGTCTTAGCGTTGTACGAAGATCAATCACACAAACAGATAAGAGAGAGGTTGTAACGTTTATAAGAGACACCAGAGTTTTTATGTGGAAACCTCTGAAAATGGGGAAACACCATAGGGCCTGGCCCAGTTTGAATGAATCTACTAGTATTTGCAGTCGATTACAAATGAGACCCTTCTTAGGGAGAAGACATTGGCTTGATGTTACAATTGTACGTCATATAGAGCGCATTACATTGTGGGAGTTGCAATAATCAACATAGACAAGTTTATTTGGTTGGAGGGGTCATAGTCAGCACGAGACAAGGGCCTGAAAGATCGTAGTTGGCAAAAGACAAGGGTTAGAAAGACCGTTGTCTGGTGTTGGAGGTCATAAGGACCATAATTAGTAGGAGACAACGATCTGAAATACTATAGTAAGCATGAGACCGGGGATCAAAAAGACCGTTATTTGGTGATGGAGGTCAGAACGATCATAATCAACAGGAGACAGGGGTCGAAATACCGGAGTAGAAGGGCGGTACTCCGGGAGAACTCTTGTGAAACCCATAAATTTTCAAACTTCGGGAGAACTCTTGTGAAACCCATAAATTTTCAATTTATGTTTGAAAAAAAAAATTGTACTGTTAGTACGGATGAACCGTTTGGACGAACTTAAGAAATGTTGAAAATCTGTATGGTTCGTCTGGACGAACCTGGGTTTATCCGGACGAACCGTCAGAACGAACTGAATAGAGAGCATCGTCCAGGGACGAAACAAATTGGAATTAATTTTCGTTCGCACGACGGCAGTCCAGAGGAGATTGTCCCGGCACAATCGGGGACATCATCCTGGACGATCATGTTTGATAAATATTTGAATAGTGTCATTTTTGAAGAGAGAGAACGCTGAGGGGAGAGAAAAACGAAGGGAGAGGAAGAAAATCCGCGTTTTGGGCAACTTCGGTCAATTTTCGTCCGTCGCCGTAGTTGGGAAAGTTGATCGACTCGAGGTAAGGCACATTTCGTCTTTCTCTATTTTCATAAATGTGGATTTTGATGATTTTTCTGTTCCGCAATCTATTTCCGTTAGCGAATAATTGGTTTCATTTCGCACTGATAAACTTTTTACCGCGTAACTTTTGGTATGTTTCTGAGATGATGTTTTTGCGTGTTTTGAGTATTTTCTGGAAGGTTTTTATCGGATATTTTGAATTATGCGGTGTTTAAATCGAATGGCAAAGTATCTGGATGGTGAAATATGTTGCTTCAATATAATGAAAGTCTTATATTGATGTTTTGTACTATATGTGGTAATTTGATAAATTTCTGAATTTGTGAATTCTGTGAAAATTTCTTATACTGCCGTTATGCCGCTGACAATTTTTCTAACGTAATCTGATTTTTTGAATTGAATGAATTGATGTGTTTATATGCTATTAGAAGGGAGTTATAAGGGGCCAGAATCCTTCGAGATTCTGACTTTGTCAGGGAAATCTGAAAGGTCTGATTTGATCTAAAATTATGTATATCTGACAAGTTCTGGTGCTGCAAGCACAAGGGAGACATAAGGGGTCAGAATCCGTTGAGATTTTGTCTGTGTCAGGGAAGGGAGGCATAAGGGGCCAGAATCTGTAGAGATTCTATCAGGGTCCGAAGATCTGCTATGTGAAATCTTATATGTGAACTGTAATATACATGATTATTTTGAGGAAAGAAAGAAAAAAATCATGGATGAACTTTTCTGTATATTTGGATGTTTATTGTAGCTCTGTGTTTTCTGTATGTTTGATTACTGGAAGAAAATTTGAAAGCGAATTCCAGAACTAGATCCTGGATTTTCAATATTTATCACGGTTCGATGCGAAGGGATTCGTTCCGGTCGGGTTGGGTCGTGACAACTTTGGCATCAAGTGGTGGCTTGGCAGAAGTCCGAGTCTTAGGTTGCGATCCGGTAGAATTTTGGGCGTTGGGTGGTGTCCTGGTGGAGCTTGGGGCCTTAAGTGGTGGTCTGGCAGAGGTCCAAGCATCAAGTAGTGGTCTGGTGGAGCAACGACGTCAAGTGATGATTTGGTGATTGTGAGAGCTTCAAGCTGTGATCCGGCGAAGCAACGACGTTAGGCGGTGGTCCGGCGGAGGTGAGAGCCTCAAGTGGTGGTCCGGCGAAGTAATAATGTCAGGCGGTGATTCGGTAAAGGTGAGGGCTTCAAGCTGTGGTCTGGCGGAGCAACGACGTCAGGAGTTTGTTCGGCGGAGGTGAGGGCCTCAAGTGGGGGTCCGACGGAGCAACACCATCGAGCCGTGGCTTGATAGAGGTGAGGGCTTCAATTTGTGGTCCGCGGAGAAGAGGGCCTCAAGTGGTGGTCCGGCAGAGCAATGACATCAAGCGGTGGTCCGACAGAGGTGAGGGCTTCAAGCGGTGGTCCGGCGGAGCAATGACATCAGAAGGTTGTCCGGTGGAGGTGAGAGCCTCAAGTGGTGGTCCAGCGGAGCAACAACGTCAGGCGGTGGCCTGACAGAGTTGAGGGCTTCAATTTATGGTCTGACGGAGCAACGACGTCAAGAGGTAGTCCGGTAGAGGTAAGGGCCTCAAGTGGTGGTCCGGTAGAGCAGCGACGTCAAACGGTGGCCCGGCAGAGGTGAGGGCTTAAAGCGGTGGTCCGACAGATCAACGACATCACGAGGTGGTCTAGCGGAGGTGAGGGCCTCAAGTGATGGTCTGGCGAAGGCGAGGGCCTCATGTGGTGATCTGGCGAACTCAGGCGATGGTCGAGGGGGAGCTTCTTCCTTCTCTTCTTCCTTCTTCTCTTCTTGCTTTGGTCTCCCCTCTTCAAGAGAAATGAGGGGTCTATTTATAGATTTAAGGAGTGACATGCCCCGTAAATAGGTGAGAGATCAAGAGCAAATGGGGAGTGGTTGGAAAGTCGATCGATATTGAATCCCTTAAACATGTACCGTTCGTCAGATATTTAAAGGTCATAATGATGTTGGAATTCAACGATCTTTGGCTCGTTGGATTTGTCTCGTCGAGTAGCTTTATTTGACTATTGATACGCCATGCAAAAATTATCTTGATCGGACACGAATCTCGAGGCAAAAAGCTAGTTGGAAACTTCAAAATTTAATTTCGGGAGCATCCGAACTACGATTTCAGCGAGCTTACAGTCAAACTGAGCGTCTCTGAAATACGAACCCGACGGCATCAAGTTCAACCCAATACGAGCCCAAATGAGTCAAAATCAAGGTCTCAAAGTGCTGTCTGAAAGTTCAAACAGCAATTTGCGTTACCAAACGGTCTCCGATTTTGACGAGCTTATACTCGAATCGAACGGCTCGACGAGACGAATCCAACGAGCCCAAGATTGCTGAATTCCGACATCATTAAGGCCTGCAAATGTCCAACGAACGGTGCATGATCTAAGGGTTCACTATCGGCCGTCCATTCGAACCACTCCATATTCGCCCTTGATTTCACACATATTTACGGGCCATGCCACTACAAAAAATCTATAAATAGAGCCCTCATTCTTCACAAGGGGGGATCTAAGCAAGAGAGAGAAGAAGAGAAGAGAAGGAAGAAGATAAGGAAGGAGCTCCTCCTCGACAGCCGCCGGACCACCGCAGAACCTCGCCGGACCACCGCAGGAACCTCGACGGACCACCGCAGGAACCTCGCCGGACCACCATAGGAACCTCGTTGGACCACCGCCTTAAGGCCCGACGTTCAGCCCCTACGTCCTACTGAAGACCCGACGTCCTATTCAAGGCCCGACGTACACTAAGTCCCTACGTTCTGCCGAAAACCCGACGTCCTGTTCAAGGCCCGACACTCGGTCTCTACGTCCTGCCGAAGACCCGACGTCCTGCTCAGGGCCCTACGTTCAGTCCCTACGTCCTGCAAAAGACTCGACGTCTTACTTAAGTAACTGATTGTAATCTGATCACCCTTGGAGGTGATTCATTCCTTTGTAACCAACTCAAAGTCTAGTGGAATCATTTTCAACTGGGCTAGGCCTCGTGGTTTTTCCCTTTTAAGGGTTTTCCACGTAAAAAATCTTGTGTTCTCTGTGTGTGAGCTAGTTATACGTACAACGCTAAGACGCAGAATTAAATCTCTATCGCCGCGTATTTTCTAGCCCGCAACAACTATAAGAACGTCATATTTTAAAACCTTTTGGAAATCCAAATTGTGGTTCGAACCTTCCAACATCGCTTCGGGTCCTTGAGTTGGACTCATTTGGGCTCGGATTGAGTCGAATTTGGTTTCGTTGGGTTCGTATTTCCGAAACGTACAGTTTGACTGTAAGTTTGCTGAAATCGGAGTTCGGATGGTCCCAATTTTAATTTCGGAAGTTTCCAACTTGATTTTGCATCGAGATTCGTGCCCGATCAAGATAAATTTTTGATGATATATAAATAATAAGCACTACTAGAGTCATTTTAACTATGGTAGATCCTATGATTTTTCTTTTCTATGGCACGTAAAAGTCTTAGTCTCTTATGGCTCTTGCATCATTCTCTTATTTGTATGATTATATTCGCACAAAATTTGAATACTAAACTCTATATCTCTTTTCGCCCTGAATGTGAATGTTTCAGAAAGTAACAATATTTCCTGTAGTATTCGTCGATCTATCAGTGAGCAGTAGTTATTCATAGACCGCAAGGCGATCATCTTATGCTCTCCATCCACTAAATGAAGATCCAAGCCTAGCTAGTAACAGCACAATAGATTTCCTCCCCCCCCCCCTTTGGGAAGCCTGAATTCCCCGCATAAATCAACCGAGAGCACTAAAAAAACACAATGGGCCCATTCATTAACCACTCTGCACGCATATTAGAAACGCCATTATGGCTTGGACGTTTCGTCCTTTTACACTTCGCCCCCAGTTCAATTTTACACAGCTCCCCCCTTCAATGCTCATTTACTGAAACCCCTCCAGTAACCCTGCAACCGCCAACCACCATCTTACCCATCCTGGCCTTTATATACCCTACTCCCCCTCTACTCATTCTCCATCGCCTCGTCCATTCCTCTTCTCTGTATTTCCTTAGCACTTATCACTCCTCAATGGCTCGCTCCACTGCTTCGATGGCGGTTGTCTTCATGGTTTCTTTTCTCCTGGTTTCCTTCTTTCTCCACGAGGCAAGCGCAATCACTTGCGGCCAGGTTTACAGCTACCTGGCACAGTGCATCCCCTACGTAAGAAACAATGGCCCTCTCGCGCCAGCATGTTGCGCTGGGGTGCATAGCCTCAACTCGGCGGCGAAGACAACCCCAGACCGGCAGGCGGCTTGTAATTGCCTCAAGACTCTTGCCGGCAGTATTTCTGGACTCAATCCCCGCGCAGCTGCTGGAATCCCCGGCAAGTGTGGCGTCAACGTCGGATATGCCATCAGCACCTCCACCGACTGCACCAAGTAACTAAATCCATCCACTGCTCATTCGTATAGCACGATGGATATTTGTGGTTAATTTCTGATTTGGTTTTTGATTTTTGCTTGTAGGGTGCATTGAGCTCCTTGGGCGGATTACTAAGTACTGCTTTGATTAGATGAACTGGAGAATAAAGTGGAGGCAGAGTCTACTGAGGGTTACTTATATCTTGGTGTTTGTGGGTTCTGTCTTCTGGTAATAATTTATGTTTACTGTTCTGTTACAAGGCCGCACCCTTGGTTGTGGTGTGTTGTTGGGTATTTATTACTGTTGTAATATTAGTAGTACTATTTCTACATATATGAGTTGCAGCGTATTTTATAAATAAATTAATGACCCGCCTCCCTCTTCACTTAGATTTTATGCCGAGGATTTGGACACAGTTGTTGGTATTTATTATAAATCTATAATCTTTCGGTTGAGGTGTAGAAAGTAGTAATCAAATTGTTGAGAAGAAGCCCAGTTTGGACGCAGTCGGTATGGATCCTAAAATTGATATGGCCGAGCAAACATTAATTTCATCATAAGTTTATTGAGTATTTGGGTTAATATTTTAGGGATTGCTTTTGAAGTAGTCTAAACTATTTTTAAGCAAGTTTATAAGCGAAAGTGTGAATTGATGAGATATCTCTATTGAGATTGAGATCACTTGCATATTACTACAAATAGGCATAAATTGGCATTAGATGTATAATTGAAACCGCTCATGATGATTTTAGCAATTGAATGTTTTTAAAATTTTGTCTAATTTGATTGAAATGATTTTTTAATTAGGATTTTATTTGGGACAACTTTCTTATTATTTTTACTTTTTAAATCCTAATTTATAATTTTTATTATACAATTTTGTTTTCTTTAAAAAAAATTGTACTATGACGGTACTTTCTATATAAATTTTTTAAAAATTTATATTCTACACAACATATTAGAACCAACTTTATAAAAAGTTGAAGGCTGCTCAAACAAATAATAAATGAGTTTGATATGTTTATTACTTAATTGAATGTAATTTATGTTTTGAAATATTAGGAAAAATGAAATATTCAAATGAGAATTATTACAAACACTTTGATAAATTGTTAATGAACTGTATCAATATTAATAGAAATAAACATAGTGTCATCCCACAAAATTTGAAAAAAGATTTATTTACTAATCACTCATGTTGAGATTTGTCACAGAGAGATTTATCTCTCGTTAATCACAGCCCATTATTAGCCATTAATTTGATAGGCTTAAATGGTTGATTATCACCTATGGCCAATCTTTTATTGACATTAATACAAATCCACATCATACACCAATCATAGACCCCAACTTATGTTTGTTGTTGATCATTGAATGCTTGTCAATGAAATATGTATGGTGTTTGATACTGCTTTTGATTTCTCTGTGGTCCTTCTTATACATATTGATATATCATCAAAAAGTTATCTTGATCGGGCACGAATCTCGAGGCATAATTAATGAGTTGAAAGCTTCTGAAATTAAATTTGGGATCATTCAAACTCCGATTTCAACAAATTTATAGTCGAACAAAACGTCTCAAAAAGTCGAACCAAACAACACAAAATTTGATTCAATTCGAGCCCAAATCGGTCCAAATCGAAGACTCAAAGCATTTTTGGAAAAGTAGAGAATAAGTAGAGAATTTGGAGCTCTTCTAGACCACCGTCGGACTTTTTCCGTATGTTGATCATTGTTAGACTTTCGGTCGTTCATCAACCACAATCGAACTTTCGTCCGTTTGTCAAACACTGCTGAAGTTCTTTCGCATGTTCGTTGGCCACCGCCGAAATTTTTTCCAACCACTACTGAACTTCTGTTCGTTGACCATCATTAGACTTTTGTCCGATTCTTCAATCTATTGTAATTCCACCGTCTCCAAGTAAATGAGCGAATCAAGCTTCGTCAAATTTAGTAGAACTTTCTCATCTTGACTAGGCCCCGTGGTTTTTCCTTTTTTTGGGTTTTACACGTAAAAAACTTCTAGTGTTTCTCTCTCTCAACTATATGTTGGTGTGTTAGATATACATACATTATTAAGACTCTTTATTCTCTTACTTTACTGCAGCGTATATTCTTGCCTGCAACACAAATAATTATTAAATTCATATTCTTATAATGTCCCAACTTTTGATATTCAATTTTAATTGTCGCTTCATGTTTACCAATAGAAGGTGTCCGACCTCTACAAGCAATGGCTGTTTAATGTTAATTTTTTATTTGCTTGGCTTTGCATATTATCTGGATAATAATCTAAAATTTTTCTGTAACCATTGCCCATTATTTATGGTGACCATTGTTTGATGCCTACCATCTCTCAATATAAGATGCTTAGATTTTTAATCTCCCTATTTATTATTATGATGAAGACCAAATCAATTGATTGCCCAACTGTTGTAACCTGGAATGTAAGCAGAACTGTTCCATTTGGCCGATGAAAGAAACCTTACACAGCTTCTTGAAAAGAAACGAACTTCTGGATTAATGCAGTTTATTCAAAATTCTTACCTCTCTAAAAATTACAGCCTCTATTTATTGACTTTACAGAAAACAGAACAAACATAATTGCTAAGAGGAAACAAGATCCTGTTAATAAAAAACAGTACTGAAACAGTAACTAAGCAATTACAAGAACTGGAACTTAACGAGCTAATGGCAATTTAAACAGACAGATCAATGTTACAATCTCCACCTTGATCTCTGTATTGAATTGAATCTTCAGGACAGCAGTTAACAAAATTCAAAGAGTAATTCACAGCAATTAACAAAATTCAAAGAGTAATTGAATTTTGCTATTGGTAAAAATTTAAGCTTCGTTTGGGGCAGTTTTCTTCATGATTCTTAAAGAAGCTTTTTATTACAAATTTTTTTACTAGAAAGTCACTTTAAGAAGCATGAAAAATGCTGCCCCAAATGAAGCCTTAGTCGCATCGTCAAGATTAGCTTTTGAAGTGATTCTCTTTATCACAATATTTCCGGGAAATGATTTCTCTGATAAAATGTGCTTAGATATATCATAAAAAATAGGATTTTTCATAAGATCCCATGGTTCCGTCGTCCTGGGCCATCGTGGTCCCTGATCTACTTAGTCACGGGAGGTAGTCGACCCAACTTGATAGAAGGATCTTTGTCGACAACCATTGGTTGCTTAATCCAAGGATACCTTGCAAACTTGGGATGAATATTTGTATAAGGAGATAAATTTGAATCCACCTTAGCTAACAAAGGGCTTTATGTTATATCGATCATATCCTATTGATTTATTACTCAATGATTTGAAGCCGTTGGGGACACTACTAATAAATTAGGCTTTCGCAACAGTTTTAAGGGCCTATTGCAACTGTTTAAACACCTAATAATTTATTTGCTAGCTGCGATTTTATGAGTCTACTATAAGGAGGCTTTAGCAGTGCTTTTAGCAGGTGTTAAAATCATTGTTAAAGGGTAGAATAAATTAAAAAATATATATATAATGCCCAAAAATTAAATTTTATAATCAAATTACAAATATCAATAAAAACTATACAAATATAAATTGAGTGAATATTAACAACATATAAATCTACAATTACTTAAGTACTTGCTCTTCTGCAGGTACAACCTTCCTCAAGTCTGTCTCTTGAAAATTTTATTTAAATCATCAATAAAAAAAAACACAATGAAGATAACCATCAATAACCATTTAATTATAAAAATAATTATTTTTAATGGACGTTAAACAGCAGGGAAAGGCATAAAAAACCTTCTCTGGAAAGTTTAAAACAACTTTAGTAGGTCTCCATAGTATGAACTATAGATTTCGCGAGAGAAGAAATGGGGAGAAGATGAGAGCATACTTTCTTTGTAGGTGTCTTTACTGGCTGCTCGTTTTCACTTTCATCTCAGGACTCCTCATCAGAACTACTACTCTTTACTTTCTTCGCAACTGTCATCCTCATCTTCACTGCTGCTGCTCTCATTTTTAGCACTTATCATGGTATGCTTGCTAGCATTCAATCCAGTAGTTTCCTATAACAATAATATTAGCCGAAAACATTAGACAAGTTTGTCCACCAATTTAAATTCAGGAACTCATTAAAAGGCATACATGTACTTTCAATTTCTTTCTCTGAGGTTCCTTATCACTCTCACTAGAGCTCTCATCCGAACCATCTTCAGAACTCTCTTTCGTCTTGGCCTTGCTTTGTGGTTTCTGAAACAATAAACAGAACCAACAAATCAATAAAAAAAATTTGAACTCTTCTATAGCATAGAAAAGTTAGTAAATATAGTGGAATATTGGTGCTAAGTTACAAGCAAGAGCGTTAAAATGTTAACAAACAAAAATAACTTGAAAAACATGCATAAGAAGGAACAAAGAACGAGAACCAAGTAAATGACATTTTCATGTTCAAATACCATTACAACATCAATCAAGGCATTCTCATGACAAGATAAATCAAAATGCGAAGATGTAAACAATAAATACCAATCATCTACCTAACCATTAGCTGATCCAAGCAGATCTATAGATGTTACAAAGCTGGCCAGAAGCAGCTGGATCTCTGATTCAAGGCAAGGGAATTTGAACATAACATAATGATTGAATTTGATTAAATATCGAGAAATCAACACAAAATAAGAAACATTAAAAAAGTAATTAATTGAATTTTTGTACAATTAAAATTTCATTAGCATCTACTTTGACAAAAATCAAAACTCGAACAAAGCAAGCAAAAAAACAAAAAGAAATAAATCAACAAAATTATTAGTTGGGTGATCATGCACGATCATGCACTAAAGAATATATTCATCATCATTCAAATTTTAGTACCAATAACATTTTAATATATAGTTGGGTGATCATGCACTAAAGCATCTAGAAAAATGAAACAAAGTAATGCTACACTTTCTTAAAAATATTAGCTCTATCATCATCCTAGGAAACATAGAGATATGATAAAGACAAATATGTGCATGTTCTAATTTCCATGTTGAAACTAATTTTTTTATTAACTACAATTACACCAAACGGGCATTGTAAAGGAATTAGAGAAACTACAAAGCTCAAATTTTGTAAGCTAGAACTTCTATCTGCAAAAGAAAAAAGTTCATACCCTAAATTCCACTTAGCACAAACGTGAGGACCAATGCAGAGATGAACATACAGGCCGGCTTGCTTCACTAGCTTGATAAATTGAACCAGATCATACCTTCCCCCAAAGTAGTACTGTAATAAATCAACAGAAAAGTCCACAAAAATAATTTTAAAAAAAGCACTTATCCAACTTTAATGCATTTCGTTAGAACTAACTGAAACATGAAACTTCTTGTTTTGTTTTTATTTTTATTTTTTGAAATCAATACCTGAGCAGGAGAAGGTTCATGGCCATTCCAGAACACATATGTCTGAATCACATCCAATCCCCCATCATTTGCCTTATGATAAGATCCGGCCACATCTAAAGCCCAACCAAAGAAACCAAACAACAAGCTTAGAACTATAAAAAACTAAATCAACAGAAACATGAATGCCCAAAAATAGAAGCATAAGCAAAAAAAGAACAATTCTCACCTCCGAAGTGCTCGGATAATGAATAGAGCCGGATATGAGAATCTTCCTCTGACAATTAATGATCACTGCCTTGCAGTCATAAGAAACAGAGGCTATCGCCGGAGTGAGTCAAGGTCGACCTTCGTCATTCGACATCCGTTCGACCTTTCGTCCTTAGGCTGACGAAGCTTCGGAGCTTTGAGGAGATCATTGTCATCAGTTCGATGATCGTCTACGAAAAAGAAGCTTTGGCATTGATTCGACCATCGTCATTCGGCATCGAAAGTGATTCGGCGTGGATGATCTCCCAAGACGAAGGTCGTGATTGAGGAGTCGAATATGGAATGTGTACGCTAGTCAGAAATAGGGATATTGGGTGGGTTTATGAGCGGGGTGCTTCGGCGGCCGTTTGTAAACAGCTGCTATAAAATATGATGAAGGATATAAATTTTTAGTAGTAAATTTAGTAGTGGTTATCACCACTATTCATATTTATATTTAGCGGCGGTTTTCAAACATATGTGCTCTAATTATAATTTAATGGTGTCATTTGACGACAAAATCACCTAGAGCATCTCGGTCATAACCATTTACATGGGATGCCATTTAGCGTTGAAACCATCGGTGTGGTGCCATTTTGTGGTCGATGCCAAGTGTTCTGGTTGACACCAAGTTCATACATTTGTTTGACAGTTCGAGTTGTATCGTCTCATATCTATTCATGTATAATGATCGGGCTCGAACATAGGTTCATTTCTTGACCCGTGTAGTATCCTCAGATGTCACGTGTAAAATTTGAATTGGAACATGCACATCTTTTGGATGAGTCGACAAGATGTTGTAAAATTAGAGCATTGTGGCGCTTAAAAGTGTAATCGAGCGTTGTGGAATTAAGATGATTTGGTGCTCTGGTATTCAAATTCTTGGGACTCTAGTGTTGCGTACTGATTTCTGATGTAGCGACGTAGAAATGTTTTGTGACGTCACTTGCCTTGGCTCTACCACAGTTCTGGTCTTCCCAAAATTTCAGAGCGGTCAACAATGCAATGTTTGAATTAGGCGAGGGGGTGCTGTAGATGCCACAACAAGAAAGGAAAAAAATTCACAACTGTTGAAAGAGCTTGGCAAGCACATGGTCCTAAGATCTACTTTTTCTCTCTTTTATTGTCTAAACTCTCCTCATGTTAGAAGCACAATTAAGGTGGCCATCCCTCATTACCCAACTTCTAACATTTTCCATCAATTGTCATGCACCTAATGTCTACTAGTGATTGACATCTAGCATTCGCTAGTTTTCAATATTGGATACTCATCTTCCCAATCATTTTGATCTCCTCTTCTATCTAGAGAATGATCAAGTGAATATCTAATTTCACTCATATTTCAACATTCTCTATTGACCATTATTCAATTTTGGGCAATGATCACACTATTAATCTTAAGGTGATGATTGCATCAACCCCTATTATTGTATCACTATATTGAAAGTTACCTCAATAACAAAGCCTCAAAGATATCTTCACTAATATACTAGCTTTGTTTATATATGTGTTAAGAAGGATGAAGCCAAAGTAAATGCGACTCACATGCATTAAATTAAATGTATGTGATAGGTTTGGTTGAGTTAAAGTGCATGAAATGAGTGCTTAAACTAAAAATGAGATCAATAAGGGCCTACTTCATATAACATTAAATATTAAAAATTTAACTTAGATGAGTAAAATATAAACAAGAACAACTTATTATGCTTGTTAGTTAATATACAAAATAAAGAGATGTTGTAATTTTCATAGGATATGATGGTTTCCAATAAGCCTTCATGAGATTCAAAAATAAGGCAAGTCTATTAACTTATCACTCTACAAAGGGATAAAATAGGCCCAACCAAACTAGTTCTAGCCAACCTTACTTTACATACATGCCTAAAATTTTATTTATTCAATATATCTAAGGCTTCGAGGAAGCCTTTCTTATTGTTTCTTAAAAAAGTTTTTTAGTACAAAAATAAAATTTTGTACTAAAAAACTACTTTAAGAAGCAGTAAGAAAGTTATCCCAAATAAAACCTAAGTTACCATAATTTATAATAATTAATGGCACGTTATGACATAATGTATCATATAAATTAATGTGCATAATAAAATATGAATGAACAAGCTTAAAAGCAAATAATAGAATTTATAGCATGAATAATAAATATTATGCAAGCACTATGTCACTTGGACCATGACTACAATAAGTAAATTTAGGATTTATTTAGGACGACTTTCATATTGTTTTTAAAAATAAATTTTAATAAAAAAATTAAAATTTATTGCACTAAAAAATTGTTTTAAAAAAGAGTAAAAATATTTTCTCAAACGAAACCTTAATAATCATCAATAACATTTATATATCATAGAATATTGTACCAAGTATGTTAATAAGGGTATCGTAGCTATTATATTGACGAGGCTTGATTGACTCTTATGTCTTATATAATTGACATAAAGATAAATAATAGAGAAATCAATTGCTGAGGCTAATAGGGAATTGCTGAGGCTTGTTTAAACTTTCGTTGGCCTTATCATTTTTTATCTCTCCCTATGTAGATTGCTGACTAATAGTTTCTTGTACCTTTCTCATTATGCAATCCTCCAGGTGAATGTTAACGATGGGATCGATAGTCACCTGTCATAAATGCTTATGACAGTATGAGTCGCTTCATTGATCCACGTCCTTTGTTGCAACACCATATCAGTTCTAAGATTATAAGATTTATTATTATTATTTTTGTAACACCAACTCTTCCTCTTGTCAACATTAGACCTGGGATTAATTTCATCTCTGTAGCATTTATAATGAATTATCAATGATATTGATTGATACTTTTCGGTGCTATCTTGAAGGCAAGGGGAGAAGTGAAGAAGCTTAAAGGATTGATGAGGCTTTAAGAGTTGGACAGACGCAACATTATGAGAAAGCAAGCAAGTAGTTGTGACAGCCACGGATAGAAACGCTGGCTTAGGTTCAGGCTTGATCACCCTGTGCTTGCCAAGCTCTTTGCTCGGAGCCATGAAGGTACAATAAGAGCTCTTGCTCTAATCCTGTAAGCCTTATTTAATTTCTTACTCTTTGGTTGGTGATTTGGTATGCGTTTATATTTCAAATTGTGTTGTTAGTTTTTAAAATTGTTTGATGTGTTTTGCTGTGTTATTTTGCTTAAACAATCATGATATATCTAGAGTAGTCAAATATTTAATGATAATCTGTCATCTATATATTGTTTGAGCAACATTTAAAATTTTATCAATGAAATTATCATTTAGATTTCATTTGTGATAGTTTTTTTACTGTTTTCTATAAAAATTTAGACATTTTTTTCTAAGAAGCTGCTTTATAAAATAAGAAAAAATTATCTCAAATGAAGCCTTAAAGATACATAATGAAACAAGCAACTAATATCTTAGACAATACAACATCACGTTAGCTCAAGTAGGGGATATTTCACTCCCACAAAGAGTGTTTAAACTTCAACAAACAACTTAAATAGCATCTAATAAGTTATTATAAATTCTATTAAAATCTTTAAACCCAATTATATTTAGTAATAATTAGATTATGTAGTTAAATTATTATCATCAAAAATGTAATTTATTAGGCTTGATTAAATCTTGATTCTAAATTTAATTTTATAAGAAGATTAAAAAACAAATTTGAATGAAATTTTAAAATTCAGATCATCATCAAACTCAGGTTAAATTTTATGAGAAAATAACTGTACTGATTTGTATAATGTAGTGTACGACCCAATTCATTTCATTTACAGCATTACTATTAGAGAGCTCCCAGGAAATCAAGCTAAAAAAAATGGTTATTATCTCCTTGGTTAGGAAGGGATGCAGCAACAACCAGTTGGCCGAAGAACATCAATGGTGCATATCAAGTTTGCTAAGTAAAATGGGCTTCCATGGGTTCAGAAGGGCGGGATAGATTAGAGATTTGCATTGAGCTAGCATGTAATAGATTGATTTCTAACACCTTCATAGAAAATATCTGGTTTTGTTTGCAGTGAATATTCGGAAAAGTTATGGCCAAAACAGAACATTTGCAGCCTCGAGGGAAACAAGCTAATTTCCTATTAGAACATTCGGTCCCAATTCTCGTTCTTCCGGTTTTTCCACGTTAAATTTTAGGATTTTTCTCCATTGTTTTCTGTTTTTCTTTTTTGTTTCGTTCTTTGTTTACTTCTTAACACTCTCAATCGCATATATTCCTCCTATAAATTATAACATTTTGATTTTGTTTAATGAATTATATATTAAGTAAATTAAATTGATGGAAAAAATATTGAATTTTTTAAATATATATTGTCCTAAGAGATATTAAATCTACCAGAAATTTTCTTCCTTCATTTGTTATGTACTCATATACAACTCAAATAAAGTTACTTTCACTAATTTAAACATCGGAGAGACTATCTAAAAAAAATTTTCAACCTCTGAACTGTTACAATCTAACATCTTCAAAATTATATGAGGGCAGTACACATTCTTCTTTTTAAAATTTTCACATGAGAAATTTTATTCCTCAAATATGCTAAAATGATCTTTCAGCAGTTAAGATACGGCTGGTATATAAAAAAACTTTATTATCTGTAAGCAGTAAGAATCCATTTTTTTGGGAAAATTATGGGCAAAGCCCTTTTCATTAAAATGAGATAGTTACATGTAAGCAGAACTATTAAGTAAAACTACTTAAAAAGAGAACAAGGCACAAAAGAAAAGAGGGAAAGAAAACAAAATTTCCCAAATACCAGCCAGAATCCAGACGCACATGACAGGCATTTACTGACTCAGGAATTCAAACTTCTTGCATAGTAATAAAACCGTGCATATTAACCAATTAACGAGATACAATGTTAAAAAAGTCATAAGTCTCATATCTTAGAAAGCAACTATTGTGTAGAATCCTGCAGCCACTTTTATTCTTGCATTCTCTATGAAGTAAGCCTTTCACATGATCCAAACACTCCATGCATGTAGATTCATTCATATCACGTGTGCACTCTGCCATCCCGTAGATACTAATACCCTTAAGATTAGTGATATTGCTCGCCACCATCTTCGCAAATAAGTTATCTCCCGACGTCACCACCATACTCTTAAGGTTCTCAATCACCTTTATCACCGCAGGAATAAATGCCGGCAAATTATGTGTGTCGACAGAATTAAACATAGAAGTTTCAGCTCCATCGACTGTCCAGTTTCCCAAGAAGTTAACTATGTCGTAACGGACGAAGCACAAATCATACCATATGTAAGCTTGTGCTTGATTAGAACAATTTGTGAAAAGAACCTTTCCAGAGTCTTTGATGCATTTCCTGCAGAGGTTAGTGTTGGTGTCTCCTCTGCATTGGGCGAGAGCATAGAGAGTGCTATCTCCGAAAGAGGAGAAACTGGAGCTCGCAAAACCTGTTATTGGAGTGACCTGAATGAGATGATATAAGGCCCCTACGATGCGAGTGTGGAGGTCAATGTCATCGGTGATGTTTTTAGCACATGAATGTAAGTCAAAATTTTCGCAATTGGCAAGAGGAAGGAGAAGAAGAGACAGGAGAAAGAATTTGTATGAGAATGCCATGAGCGGTTACTTGCAAGCTAATAATTAGTTTGCTGGATATAAATTTAAGTGATCGATCTGGACTTGTTGTTTGAGGTTCTTCTCTGCTTCCTTATATATAGAAGCTTAGAGGTAGGAGTTGTTGTCGCCACATTTTTTTAAAACTCTTTGGTCTGTCCAAATTTTTTCTCTGAATTATGCTAATATTATAAGAATGGCTGAAGGACTATTTCAATTACAATTTTTGAACTTTTCTTTATGCGTATAAAACTAGTTAAAATATCTGAAACTAATTTGGAGCTTAACTGCCGGCCAATATCAAGGAAAAAATTATAAAAATATTTGATTTTTAAAATAAGATAAAAATAATAATTAAATTTAAAAGATAAATTTTAAAACACAAAACGCGTTTAGGTTTTTTGACAATATAAGTCTTTTACGTGTTTATGTCTAGGCATAAATAGATATATAAAAAAACTTCATATATATATATAATGTTTTATTAATTTATATATTTTTTTTTAATATATAAATGTATGTTAATATATAATTAAGGTTTTATTTGGGATGATTTTTTTTAAAAAAAATTAAAACATTAATTTAGTTTGTACTAAAATTTTATTTAAAAAATAAGCAAAAAAATCGTCAATGCCCATAAGGCTCATGAGTTTTGGTCGTTTTTGAAAGAAAGAAAAAAAGACGGGAGTTTTGGTCTTTTTTTTGTTCCAACAAGATAATCCTATTCTATGAGGAAATCATGACTTCGGCAAGACACGTTGTTGAGAAATACTCACACAGGAGAAATCATGACTTCGACAAGCCACGTTTTTTAGAAATAGTCCTAAACTTGGTAATTATTTTTTCTCCTTCCTAAGTCAATTCAACAAATGGCGGATATTTCATTCACAGCTTTTTATATGTTAAGAATTAAGATAGCTGAAATCTTCTTTATTGGCCCACAATATAAAAGAACCAAGTTTATGATGTAGTGGATCGTCGGAAGATCAAACCTGCAAGAAGGATTTCAAGGAGTTCCCAATCCAGGGAAGAAGAAGAAAGCTTTTCAAGCTTCAAAAGATGGGCTGAAATTGGCGTGTTATGGAAAATTAGCCCATAGACAAATGAATTTTCTTCAGGCTTAGTTGGTAGAAAATTAGTAATAGTAATTTCATTTATTGAAGGATCGATCTGACCGATGAAGCCATGTAAATATAGTTAAAACAAAATTGGCTTGTTGGATCATCAAATCTTCTTTAGGGGCGTAAATGAGCTGAGTTGACTCAAATTCGACTCGTCAATGGGCTTGTGGTAGTGTTTATGGAGCTCCGAGCTAAGAGCTCGAGATTATGCTCAAATTCAAGCTCGATTATTATTCAATATCGTTTTTTAATTTGACACAAACTCAAGTTCAAATTTGACAAAACTCGGCTCATTGGCTTAAGAAAAAATATTGTAATAAATTAAATTTTAGATTCTAAGCTGTTATAAAACCCTTATGTACTAAGAAAAGATATTGCATTTAATTCAACTCCAAACAACATTCAATGAAGTTGCACAACTTTTAGAAAAAAAAAATAGAAAGAAAGAATACTCTTTACCATGACTTTGAGGTAAGTGTTATCACGCCAGAGATCTATAGAGAAAGAATTACATCTCTCTTTTTTTCTCATTATTCTTTTTCTCTATTTTCAATTTATATTATTTTTAAATTTTCTTAGTAATCACCAATACTCATTCATTTATAATAAGATCATCAATAATAGAGCTGACTCTTTACATTCAGAGAAATATAAACTGTGAAAAATATATTTACATTTTTATAGTCAACATTTATATAATATTACAAAGACTAAAGTCCAAAAGCACATATGCATTTTGCTCCTCGAAGCACACCGGGCTGCTTAGGCAGAATATGCAAGCGGTGTGCTTTAAGAGAAAAGACATTTCTTTTTTTTTTTTCATTATGGAACGGAAACTCACGATTTTTCAGTATGGGTCGCAGTTTGATCCAACTCGTCTCGCTCGTTATAAAAGAACTATCAATCAATCAATGTGTTACGTCAGCAAGTTATGCTAGGATGTATTAATATCAATGCTAGTTCAATCAAATTTATATCATTTATATCTATCCATCAATCTAATATATAATCATGATAGAGTAATCATACATGCAATTATGAAGAGTAAGATGTAACAACTCAAACTCTTGACTATTGAGATATTATCTGCTTTGACCTAAGTGCCTTACGGTTCTTTTTCCTTTTGGTGTAATTTCCCAGTAGGACACCCATCCGAGAATTACTTCGGGGTGAGCAAACTTAACTGCAAAGTTTCCTAAATGAATTTACAACCATTACACTAAAACTTACCACGATGTTTAAGTGTTTAACTTCTTTTACTTAAGTCATTTCATAATCTCCCCCACTTAAGTAATTGACACATCATCATCATCTTTATCCTAGAATCATCCACCAAGTAGATAGTATTCTTGAGGTGACCCATATAAGTTCAAGTGGTGGCTAACATCATATGACACTTTGTCTCATATAAGGTTCAAGAGGTGTCTCCCATGACGTAGCACTTTACGTTGTATGACACTTAAATCCCATCTTCTAGCTGATATATTGTTCTGATACCATTTGTAACAGCCTAAACTCTTAAATATTGAGATATTATTCGCTTTGGCTTAAGGGCCTCACAGTTTTATCATGCTAGTGTAACTTCCTAGTAGATCACCCATCCCAAAACTATTCCGGAATGAGCACGCTTACCTACGGAGTTTCTCAAATGAAATTTCAATCATTACACCAAAAGGTGCCTTGATGTTTACTTAAGGGGTTATATACAAGATATAATATCTAGATTTAATATGATATTTTTATCCTTCCACCACAATTGTCAACTAATTGATCATCAATCTTTAACTTAAACGAAAGTGTTGACTAGTTAGTCATCAGTCTTTATTTTATCATCATTGTCAATTATCTTAAGTCAATTCATAAGTGACTTTCAATAATCATTAAAGAGTTATCACTGTCTACTAGTCAGCATAATCACGTCAATTGGTTACAGGCTATAACTCAATTAGATAGTATGAGCTTGAAGTTGCAAAAGTTTCTCATTCTCTAAAAATAGAGTGGGTGGAGCACAAATGATAAGAATTTGAACTCTTGGAGGTTGTCTCGTGCAATGGTTGTGGAATGTATTTGGAGGTCATTGATGTAATTAGGGAAGAAGAATGTTGTTCAATTTATTATAAGTTAACTGGCAATGATTGCATTTTAAAAAATATTTTAGATATAATTTATTAAAATTTATTAAATAATTTGTCCCTCTACCTTTGATGAGTATGATTTTGCAACCAATATAGAGCATGCTCTTGATCAATTATCCTTAATTGCAACATAACATGCAAATATTTTATAAATATACATAGAAGAGAAACAAACATATAAAATTAGAAAAGATCATAAATTATCATTCTTTTTATATGCTCTATAAAAAGAATGAAACCACCAGAAGTAAAGGAATAACCCATACCATTGTACTCAAATGCTTATATTCTTATTATGTTATTTCTTTTCTAGCATAATCAAAAACTCCCAAATGGTACATAGCTCTATCAAATTTCCTCTACAACCCAATCAAAATTTATTTTCCTATGAGGTGCATAAGATTGGCAATGGACACCATTTTCATGAGAGTCCTTCCCAAAGGATTTCGTTACATAGATTCCCTTAGGATTGAGTAGAACATGAGATTAAATAGATATCATTATCTTTATAGCCTTATTTTGTCATTACTTCCCCTCTATGGCACCAAGGATGTGAACAACGGATTGGACCATATGCTTTATAGGCCAATCACCTTCGTAAATAGTACATATTAACCAATTAATGAGATAAAGTGCTAAAAAAATCATAAGTCTCATATCTAATAAAGCAGCTATTGTAGAGAATCTTGCAGCCACTTGAACTCCTGCAAATGCTAGGAAGCAAGCCTTCCGCTTGATCCAAACACTCGATGCAAGTGAATTTATTCATGTCACGCGTACACTCTGTCATTGCATAAACGCTCACACCTTTCAGATTGAAGATTTTGCTCACCATCATCTTTGCAAATAAGTTAGCTCCCGGCATCGTTACCCTACTCTTTAGGTTATCAACCATAATTTTCACGGTAGGAACAAATACTGATGTATTTTTTGCATCTATTGTATCAGTCTGAGCAGTTTTAGCTCCACCAATCTTCCAATTCCCAAAGAAGTTAATTGTGTCATAACGGAGGAAGCACAAATCATACCAAATGTAGGCTTGCGCTTGCTTAGAACAGTTTGCTTGAAGGGTTTTTGCTGCATCTTTAACACATTTGCTACAGAGGTCGGTATTGGCATCTCCTCTACACTGGGCGAGAGCATAGAGAGTGTTGTCGTCTCCGGAAGAGGAGAAACTGGAGCTCGTAAAACCTTTTATTGGAGTAGCCTTCATAAGATGATATAGGACACCTATGATACGAGCTTGGAGATCGACGTTGCCAATGATATTTTTGGCGCATGAATGCAAGTATTTATTTTCGCAGTTGGCAAGAGGAAGGAAGAGAAGAGACACGAGGAAGAATTTGTATGAGAATGCCATAGGAGGTTGCTTCCTTCTAATTAGAGGCAAATTAATTTGCTTGATATCAGTTTGACTGGTCTGTCTGAATGTTTTTTGTTGATTCAGGCTCACTCTTGCTTTCCTATATGTATAAGTTTGGATGTAGGGGTTGTAGTTGCCACATTTTTGAAAACTCTTGGAGCTTTATATATATTTTATTAAAAGTTAATTCATTTCTATTCTTCAAGACTATTCATAAAATTCTAATTTTTTTTTTTTTTGATGAAATGTTAAATTTAGGGTTTAGATATTTAAATTTACTCTTATACTAATCACTTTTAAAATTGTATAAATTATGGAAAAAAATTTCGCATCAAAATATTAAGATATAAAATTAATTAAAATGGGCTACAAAATTTATGAGTTTATGATGAGATTTCTGATATAAATGATATGATTCAAGAATTTTTTAATCCATTCTAATTATTTTACATAAGGATATTTTGTCCCAATTTTATCCAAAATTATGATATTATATTTTTGAGTCACAGTATCTTATCGTAAATTTAAGAATTTTAAAACCTATCCTATTTGTTTTGCGTCAGTATATTTTGTCCTAATTGTTACCCTAAGTGTTATTGAAGGACTATTTCAATTAGAATTTGTCACTTTTCTTTATGAATATAGAACAAATTTGGAGCTTAACTGCTGGCTAATATCAGGGAAAAATTTATAAATAGATTCTGATTTTTTTAAAAAAAGATTAAAACAAAATAATTAAAATCAAAGATCAGTTTTAAAATTTAGAAGACGTTATGGTTTTATGATACCATAAAAGTCTTTTATCTATTATAGGAAGAGCTGTCAAAAACGGGTCACTGGTCGGGTTCGGGTTCAACCCGAATTGACCCGATATTGTTCAACCCGATCCGAACCCGACCCGCTTTTACAAACGGGTCAGTTTTCTGAACCCGAACCCGACCCGCTTCGGGTTCGGGTCAACCCGAACCCGACCCGTTTCGGGTATATTTCATTATTTTTTTATTTAATTTATTTAAATCTACATCAAATTAAGATAAGATTTACTTCAATTAATTTAAAATGAATCAAGATTAACTTAATTTGGGCAACAATGTTTATAATTTTTTGAAATATCATTTACTTATTTCATAAAAATCCTTTAAAATCCTCCTAAATTAATTAAAACCGGGTCAAACCGGGTTGATTTCGGGTTTCCGGGTCAACCCGACCCAGTTTTACAAACGGGTCGAAATCCCTAACCCGAACCCCACCCGGTTCGAGTTCGGGTTGACCCGAACACGAAATTTTCGGGTCGGGTTCGGGTCGGGTCAAATATTGACACCTCTAGTTCTAGGGGCGGATCCGATTTCTTTTTTCAAAGTGGGCAAAATTTTTTTTTTTTTGTTGGGGATTGACAAAGACGCTTATGATTAATAAAATTAGGGCAAAAATTTTTTTTAAGAGGGGACAAAATGCCTAAAACACCCAAAATATTCTAAAATATCCCCTTTTAATTTTTTTTTAGAGTGGGCATTTGCCCCCCCTCAAGATATGGAATTTTTATTAGGTCCAGACACATGAAGTAGCTCTACATCCGGACGCCAATAAAATATCGCCACGTGCTCTTACTCTTTACCGCGCGGCCCGATGACCCGACTCGGACTGGAACCCAATATTGCTATGTATTAGCTGATTTGGACAGACCAGGGTATTGCTAGGTTTTGCTCGGTAACGAGAAATATCATTATGTCAAGACCAATACCTAACAATATCGAGCAATACCCCGGTTTTACTTGGAATTACTCGATATTGCTAAGTATTGCTCAGTATTGGTCTTGATAGAGTGATATTTCTTATTATTGTCAAGCAATACCGAGCAATACCTAGCAATACTTAGTAATTGAAGAACATAGCAATAACAGGTTTCCGTTCCGGGTTGGGTCGTCGGGCCGCGCAGTAAAGAGTAAGAGCACGTGGCGACATTTTATTGATGTCCATATGTAGAGCTACGTTAGTGTCCGGACCTAATAAAAATTCATAGCCCATGTCTCTTCATAGCCCAGTGTCCGGACCTATATACATATAATTTTTTAATTTATCTTCTTATTTTTATTTTATCTTTGATCCTCCATAAGACGGAAAAAGAATTGACATTCAAAAATTTTAGTGAAAGAGGTTCTTCTGTGCAGTCCATGTGACTCTTGTGTTTAGATACTCCTACAAGTTATTCCTATTCTATAAGGAAAATCATGCCTTTAATTATGCTATTATTTCTTAGTTCTTATAGAAAAATTGTTCCTTCACTCCTACTGAAAAATAATCGCACTAGGAAAAAAAAAAATATACAAATAAGAAATGCAACTTGAGAATAAAATTTTCTCGTTTCAAACTCAATTCAACAAATGGCCGATATGTCATTTACGGCTATATTATATTAAGATAGCTGAAATATTCTTTGTTGAAATTTCCTCGTCAACCGCTATAGAAAAACCACTTATTGCCGGCAGAAACGGATCATTTTCTGACAATTTTGTACGGTAAAACACAGGCCGGAAGAATATTTTTGGCTGTATTTTCCGGCAGTTTTCTGGATAAAAATGACAGCTGAAAAATTAAAAAAAAATAATTTAAAAAGAAACTGCCCGGCAGCCTGCCAGAGCTCCCGCACTGCCCGCCAGGTGGCCTGCCCACCAGAGCTTCCATCCTGTCCGGCTGCCTGCGAGGCGGCCTGCCCACGTCGAAAAAGTTACTACGAACCGTCGAAAAAGTCATCGGAAACTCCGCCGGAAACAAAACCACCAAAAAGCCGCCTGGAAACCATCAGAAATTCTTCTGAAAAATTAGGCCGCCGGAAAATAGTTCGTTGGCAAGCTGCAGGAAAAATCTATCGATAATTGACAATTTTTCTGTAGTGAACTTAACTTCGTATTTGACGAAAGATGATTTCATGAAAATACATATTAAAAATATATTCTTAGGCTAACCATGCATAAAAAGAAGTTTCACAAAAGTAATTAACTTCCATTAAATCCTAATTTTTTTTTGTTATGTTCCTATCATAAAAATTCTCATTTAATGAAAGTAAGCTAGCTATATAAGCGATTATTTGTGCTTTTTTATATGATAATTATTACATGTTAAAATATTTCACAGTAGTTGAGTCAAAGAGTTTATTGTCTTTTTATTATACAAATATCCACTACATACATTGATTAAAGAAGAGTTACTAGAGACATTAGAGTATTTATATGATAAATTCATAGAAGAAAAAAAATTGTAGGTATGGACCTTAGTGAGATAATTCTATTAGTATTTATTATTGGTTATAAACAATGCTCTTCTTCTTGATTGGAAAAGATATTGATATTATATATTAAACTCAAACTCTATATAATGAATTAAGTGATGGAAGTGGAAAGAGTTGTGCGATATGGGAGCCATCTTCAAGAGTTGTTTGATGTTAGTTGGCCATCCTCCATTGAGGGAAATCAAGTATAAATGTTGATGATGATGTTGAAAGTCAGAGTTGATATATGTAACATGCATTGGCGTCGTTGTAGCAAGATGACGATAGTCAGTGAGCTGTAGGTTGGAGGATCATCATTTGGTGATAGTGGTCAAAAGTATTGTAGCCAGGCAACTATGATCAGATGATCATAGTGAGGCGACAGTTGTTGGAGGATCAGAATCAAGCAACATTGGTAAGAAAATTTTAGTTAGGTGACGATGATCAAAGGACCATAGTCGATCGGGTGATAATTAGGGTTGTCAATTCGGGTCGAACCTGAGTTGACCCGGATCTAAACGGGTCAACACAAACCCGACCCATTTTTGCAAACGCGTCGGACATTTCATCCCAGGCCCGAGCCATGCGGGATGTCGGGTTGACCCGACACGACCTGGTTTAGCATATTGTGGAGAAGTGAGCTCGCGACAGCGGGAGTGCGGGCGGAATCCACGGCACCGCGCGTGCAGATGGAGTCTGTGGGACTGCATGACGGTGCAAGTGCGGCCATGCGGGGATTGGGCTGACCGGTCGAGTCTACTTTCAGGTCGCAGGCTGACCGCGCGACGAAGCGAGTGCGTCAGTGCGGAGCGCAGTCTGACCGCACGACGGCGCGAGTGCGGGGCACTGGCTAACCGCGCTACGGCGCGAGTGCGCGACAACGAATGGTCTAGCAGAGTCCGCACTCGAGTGTGGGACCGCGCGAGCATGGAATTGGCGGCAGTGGGCGACGGGGCGAATTTGGGCAGAAATCAGGATGCACTTGACTTTTGGGTCAGTGTCGAGTTGATTTCGGGTTTCCGGGTCAACCGGAACCCTACCCGTTTTTTTGAAATGGGTCAAAAATCTGAAACCGAATCCGACCCGTTTGCTAATCGGGTCAACCCGACCCCTGATTTTTTCGGGTCGGGTCCAGGTCGAGTTTCGGGTCGTGTCAAAAATTGACACCCCTAGTGATAATGGTTAAAAGTATTGGGGTCAGAAAACTATGGTCGGACAATTGTAGTTGGGGATCATGGTGGGAGGACCATACTCGAGGAACATTGATTAAAATTATCGTATTAGGTGGTGGAGGTCGGAGGATTGTACACGGAAGATAGTGATGTGAGAACTATTGCTAAGCCATAATACGTAGTTGTAGGACCATAATCGATAGATTGTGTATATGCATTGAGATTTATATACGACCAAGATAATTTTGATGATCTGCCAATAATCATTCAAAAAGTTGACAAAGTGTATTTTCGAATCATTGACCCCTCAATAACATGAAGCTGGGAGTTCCTGTCGCCAGGAGATTAAAAATGTTGTTATGCTCAACAACGAAACATAAAATTGACGATTCTTTCATGTTTAAGTTAATCTACCAGCTTTTTTATAGTGCTCAAGTTGAATTAAAATGATCAAGTAGGGATTAGTAAAGAACTAAAGCAATCAAATGGTATTCTAGTCTACAAAGCGTTGTCTTCTGGGAATTAACAATGGCGCGCGATTGACGGGCCTTTGGCCCTGG